ACTCCACCTATTTCTCTCTCTCTCCTGCTTCCCTGCCATGAGGTATGCACCCTCGAACCCCCTTTCTCTCTTCTTCTTTCTCCCTCTCCTTTCTGTCTTTTCCCATCTTTCTCTTTATCCTTCATTATAACAAACCATTTCCATGTGAATGCAGCTTCTGGGTTGTGAATGTCCATCAGCCTCCCCACTGCCATGCCTGCATGGAGTGGGTCACCCACCAGCTTGCTACCACATCTGCCCAGCATGTCAGCATGGTTCTCTGTGAGCACAGGATACCCTTGGGCCCCCCATGTAGTAATAAAACATAACAGACTTTACTATCATTGTGATATACTTTGTTCGATAGTAGAACAATCCGGAATCAGACATTGAAGGTGGTGGCCAAGTTTCTACAAATTCATTTGTTGTCAGAAGACACTAGAGAAAGGTGTTTGTTTGTTTGTTTCATCTTTAACTGAAATCTTTTTCTTCTCTTTTTTTGTTCTTTATTTTTAGGAGAGAATGAATTATAAAAGAGAAATGCTGTTGCTAATCTTGCTTGCTTTATTGCTGGCATTATATAAGCACCACCCCAGGTAAATATGAAACCCTGATGCATCCCAGCTATTGATATAGCTAACCTAAAGTGCTGTGTGCTTTTACCCAAAGACATTCAAGCACACTTTAATTTAACTTAAGAGAAATCAGTTTTTCTTTGGTGAACATATACATTAATTCTTTCATTTTTTTCAACTTTCAAGAGCAATGATCAATACCAGGCTATGGTGGCACATGCCTTTAATCCCAGCACTTGGAAGGCAGAAGCAGGTGGATCTCTGTGGGAGCCCATTTGGGTTTCCAAGTGGCTTTACCCAGCAGGTCTGCATAGAGAGGATGATTGGAGCACAGGCCTGAGTGCAGGTGTCTGAGATGGTCTGCACCTGGCTGTGCTGGGGGGAGATATTTTGCTCCACCCCTTTGCATTCCTTTAAATACCCTAGGGCAGAGACAGTCAGGGCCCGATGGATTATGATCCAGACCCTCCTGAGTCTATCCTGTATTTTCTATCTGTTTCTCTCCCCCTCTATCCTTCTATCTAATATTTCCTGCTGCTTCTACTCAAGAGTACTCTGGGGGAAATGTGGGGATGGTGGGTAGCCTCCCCCACAGATGGCACCATGAACAGGGACTGGGAAAAAGGAAAAAGTAATATATATTTTTATAATATCCAGAGTGCTTGGTGAAAGTGGGGTGTGTGACTTTGACACTTACAGAAGAGGGACAGTTTTGTTGTGTAGTGAAAAAAGTTACATAGGGCAGGGAGTTTTATCCTTGAGAGAAAAGGAAAAAATGGACTGGAAGGATGTTTGAGGCTGCAGCGTAGAATCTTCTTTATCAAGATTTCTCTCTTTGCCTCTCTCTGAGTTTCTACCCATGAAAATAAGGAAGGTGGAGTGTAGCAACAGAGTGCAGGAAGAACTTAGAGGAAAAATTACTTAGGATAAGATAGGCAAGTAGACAGAGAGACGAAGTCTGTAATTTTCCAACTTTAGGGGTTTTGAATGCAAACTGGGGGGAAATCTATCTTTTTTGAGCTTATTGGGCAGAAAAAAAGATTCCTATGGAAGCTTTTGGTCTGGGGACAGCTAAAATGCTAAGTTCAAGCAGCAGAGGAAAGAGATTTCCCCTGCAGCTGATGCAGATGGGCAAAACTTGTAGAATACCTTACCCTCAGAATTAGTTTTCTGTTGGCCATGAAGCCAAAAAGTTTAGAGAACAGTAGTCTTGGGAAAAACTTAATCTTTCTCAAACTAAAAGTTTTCATTGGTAAAAACTATCTCTAAAATACTAAAAAGCCTTTCAGAACTTTCTGAGTTTCTCTTTCTGTAAGGACAAATTTAGGTTCACCTGAAAGAATGCAAGAATTCACCTGTGATTTGCTCTAAGGGAAAACAATAAACTTCTTAGAACAGGGCAAAACCTCTCTGCTAAGCTCTGTCTTTCTTTCAAGCCAGGAGAAGCAGCAGTCAGAATCCCCTGAGGTTAGATAGAACTTACTGCATGGGAGAATGTGAGTGAAGAGCCACAGAGAGCCAAGTAGGGCAGAAAACTGCTAGCTCAGAAGAAGGCAGTAAGGCCCAGCCTCTAAGCTGCAGCGGTGAGGCATCGGGGCTTTGTTTAGATCCCCTGAAGCGATGCAAGCCCTCTCTATTAGCACTGTATCCTTGCTTCTAACCAACAACTGAGGAGCAACTAGCCAGCACCTCCAAGTTCCATCGAGTGCATTCTGGGGACACCAGGGTTTCTGCAGTTGTCAACAACTTCCTTCAGCATGCAGCTAAGACAGACAGATTCTTCCCTGATGGGAGGGGCTGCTGGAGGAAGCAGTAAAGCCCAGCTGTATTTGCAGCTGCACTGGGGAAAGAGCCCAGCCAGGAGAGAATGGAGAACTGCCCAGGAGCAAAGCTCTTTTCTATCCAAGAAAGCACCTTCCTGGGAAAGCTTTACTTCAAGCTCTTTTGGTTTCTGACTCCCGGTGAGGAGAGGGTGTGAAGTCCTGAAGGATTACTGCCTCTGGGAATAAGCTGCTGTCTGAGTGTGTGGACAGGTGAACACAGCTTGCTCAGGCAGAGGGTCAGGTGAAAGGCCTGATGAGACAAAATGCCTGCCGTCGTGCGAGTTTAGGGATAAGAAAAACCTCCCTTGAGAAAAAAGCAGAAGTCTGAGCACAAACCACACAGACCCTGAAAACAGAAATGGACAAAAGCCCCTACCTTCAGAAGCAGAGAAAGCTGCCACTGTGGCATTGGGAACTGTTTCTGGGGCGGAGGAGATAAACTGAGACCAAACTGGCAGCTGTCTGGGAGAAAGTCTCTCTGAAGGAGCTGTAGGAGAGCTGTGCTAAGTGTTTTTGTGTCTTTTCACTGGTGGCTTGGGCAAGTGGACAAGTCCCAAGGGAATGTTGGAATCAGGAATGCCCATCTCAATACATGCTAATGGGGTAGGTGTGATTCTTATCCAGGGCCAGTATCAGATGAAAGAAAAATACTTATTAAGGCCAGCTCAGGGAGAGCAGAAATCTTTTGACTCAAGCAACTTCCCATAGTAAAGAAAAAATAAAGTTCATTTGAAAGCAAGCCTGGTAAAAGGGAACCAGAAGTTGACTCCTAGACCTGAAAAGAACTATGGGAAATGAAGTCCGAAAAGTAGCACATAACAGTGGGCTGATATAAGAAAAATACATTCTGGGAAAGGTAGTTTTTCCACTAAAGATGGTGGCATTGTCCGGAAAAACTTTTTTCAGCTTGGAAAAACAAAAACAAAAACAAAAACCCGCTCATAGTAAACTTAAAATACAGCTTTTAAAATATTAAGAAGGAGGAAAATTGAGCATTTGTTGAATTCCAGTTCCAATGAAAAATTTAAAGGATATGAAGCTCAGAGCTTTGTGGCTTTAGGGTCCTTTGAGAATATACCTTATATTGCCTAATAGCTGCTCAGAGTGTTTTCTTAAGGTAGCTGGATGACAAAAAAGCTACCTATAAGAGCAATCAAGTCACTTAGAAATACATTAAGCTTTCAAGACAAACAGTCTAGCAGGTGAGCTTGCTGAATGATGCAGGTCTGGAACCCAACTCCAACTTAGACAATTATCTTCTGTTGGGAAATTGTCTGTTGAGTTGCTAGTTAAGCAATTCAGAAACAGAATATTCCTTAGGAGGTTTTTCATCTCATCTCTTTTCTTTCTTTTTTTGTTTGCTGTAAACTGAGATAGCTCTTAATAGAGTTTTTATAAAAGATCTGGAATGAATAAAGTAGTGTTTAGCAATAGAACTCACTAAATCCCAGGGTTGAGAGAGCTATTAAAGAATTAGACTCTTGTTTCAAACTCTCAAGAACTTTCAGAGTGATATCAAAGCTGACTATAAACTCTGAACTTTAGAAATGATTTGTATACTCCTTGTCTTATTAAGAGATTCTTCCTAGTGTAAGTTAGTTCTGTTAAAAGTAAGAAGTATCTTTGCTAAGGTAGTCCTTTAGAGTTTCTTTAAGAATATTAGAAGTAAGGTAGTCCTATAGAATTTCTTTATATTTGCTAAGGTAGTCCTATAGAGTTTCTTTAAGAATATTAGCTTATAAGAAGTATAAGTAAGTGTATGTTGAATGTGAGTTTCTAAAAAAGTATAAATGTTTGTATGTAAGTCTAAATACTTAATGTAAATACATGTAGTAAATGACCATGCTAGTTGTCATAGAAGTGTAAATAAGAAAGTCAGAGAAATGTAGGTTTAGAATATACAGGCTTTAGGTCTAAGGAGATATGGTGAAGGTTTAATAAAGTAATTTAGAGTAGAATAGGAACCTGGGATGCAGAAAACAGCATTCATAGCAGACTGCAAACAAGACAGTTCCAAAAGCCACCAATAACAACAAGAGCAGCTCCAAAGACTGCCTGCTTCAGAAAGTAGCAGCCAGGGTGTCCACAGCTGAGACCCATGGAGCGTCATAGCTTCTCAAACAGCAGAGGCCAAGAGCCAGTGCAAGCATCAGTAGCCAGAGTGTCTCAGAAGCTGAGACCCTCAAGGCATCAATGCAATGCAGGTGGCAGATGAACAAGAGTCTACAAGCTTTCTACCGAAAGGAAGCCATGGTCAGATGTGGACACGCTATTCTTCAAGAAAGGTGGATGGCGGACCGCAGCTTAGAGAGCCCAGCGGCTTGCATCACCACAGGAAAGATGAACGGTGAGCAGCAATGAACAACTGAGAATTCAAAAAATAGACTGTTAGCCGGGCGGTGGTGGCGCACGCCTTTAATCCCAGCACTCGGGAGGCAGAGCCAGGCGGATCTCTGTGAGTTCGAGGCCAGCCTGGGCTACCAAGTGAGTTCCAGGAAAGGCGCAAAGCTACACAGAGAAACCCTGTCTCGAAAAACCAAAAAAAAAAAAAAAAAAAAAAAAAATAGACTGTTTCTGGAGACCAAGAGCAGAGTGGTGTTAGTGCCAGACAAGCAGCTGAGACATGTCGGAGCCCAAAAAGCTTTGGAGGTAAGAGTGTGCTCTGGACTGAACAGCTAGACTGGGGATCTTGGCTGGGAACCAGTTTGCTGAGTACTTGGACCATCAACAACACAGGTACTGGGGACCCTCTCAAAGCCAGGGTCACTGTGGAAGGGCCACAGTTCAACTTATGGCAGCTGAAGGAGCCTTGAGTCCATGTGGCTATGAGGTGAAGGTCTCTAGCCTGGTCTGGGAGTGGCCTGGTTATGGAAGGCTACAGACTGCAGAGCGCAGCAGTAGCTGAGCACAAAAGTTGCAGAAACGCTTGTTTGAACTAAAATTCTTAAATGCAAAAGTTTTGGCTATGAAACTTCTTGTATTTGGAGCTGTTTGCTTCAGAGTCATTACGACTGACAGCTGCACACAGACTTGAGGGCAGCTGACAAGCCAGGCCCTGACTTCGAGCACTCAGAGGAACTTTTAGGCCTGGTACCAGAACTCTTTTTGAACTTCTGAATTTAAGAAATGAAATGGACAGTAATGATTTCATTACAGTGGTACAGTTTGAATTTACTTATGCATATAGACTCTATCAATGGTGATGACTTATGAACTGCTTATGGAACTGTTTATATAAAAATGGAACTGCTTAAAAATGGAACTGTGTAAATAGAGAAGTTGAGTTTTTTCTAAAAAATTATAAAGAAAAGAGGGAGTGTTAATATTCCTCAGTCTATTTAATTTAAAAATATTTTTGTGTTGCTTGAGTGAATTAATGTTATGTTTTGTATAGTTCTATTAAGAAACTGTTTTTGTATGTAGGTTTGTAAGAAAGTATTAATGGTTATATTGAGAATATTGCTTTTGAATGTATGTAGGAATTACAATGGTGTATAGCAATGATCATGTTAGAATTATTATATTAATGCACCATGGTTTGGTGAAGTCAAGGAAGTGTTTGTTTGATGTGAATACATCAGAAGTTTATTCTACATTTTGTTAGCAAGAAATTCAAATGGTTCTATTAAGAGTTTGCTTTAAGTTGTAAGATTGAAAGAATTGTAACTATATATAACATTATGTTAGAATTATGTTAACCTGTTAATGTTAATGATGAAGCTAAGGGAGTTTTTAATTTTGATGCAATTGCATCAAGAGTTTTTTGGTTTAGAAAGGGCTTGATGCAGCTAAGACTGATATAGTCACCTTAGACCCATTCCAAAAAAAGAAATGCCATCTTTATCATCCTCTACTCCAATGCTGGGAGGTGTGATGGCTATAGAGATTGCTGTGAGCTCTTAATGGAGAGGTGGTTTTTATATATTAAGAAAGGGGGACCTGTGGGAGCCCATTTGGGTTTCCTGCATAGAGAGGATGATTGGATCATGGGCCTGAGTGCAGGTGTCTGAGATGGTCTGCACTTGGCTGTGCTGGGGGGAGATATTTTGCTCCACTCCTTTGCATTCCTTTAAATACCCTAGGGCAGAGACAGTCAGGGCCCGATGGATTATGATCCAGACCCTCTCAAGTCTATCCTGTGTTTTCTGTTTCTCTCCCCTCTATCCTTCTATTTAATATTTCCTGCTGCTCCTACTCAAGAGTACTCTGGGGGCAATGTGGGGGTGGGTGGGTAGCCCCCCCAACAGATCTCTATGAGTTCGAGGCCAGCATGGTCTACAGAGTTCCAGGAGAGCCAGGACCACACAGAAAAACCTCTCAAAAAACAAAAAACAAAACAAACAAACAAAAAACCCAAAGAAACAAAAAACAAAAACCAAAACCAAACCCACATTCTCTGCTAACTTTACATTATCTTGAAATTAGTTCACTCTCCGCATTTCCCTTAGTCTGCCACCTCAGCGCATTATGCAAAAACACCTTTTACAATGGCTGCTAGTTTAGATACTTGTTTAAGAAAAAAAATTGAAGTTCCAATCACTGTGAATCAGACTAAAATAGCAACCTGTTGGAGAAACAAGGTCATACTAGAGAAACATGATAATGTCCCCACATACAGGAAAAAGTTAATTCTCCTCTCCTTCATATCCTGCTCTCCATATGTAAGAGACACAATGGTACCAAACGCCACTTGAAAAGCAGCTGCATGGGGGGAGTGAAGTCTTTAAAGTTAACCTTGTTGCTTTGGCACCCTAAGCTACAGTTATTTGCCTTCCAGAGTCATTGTATTTTAATGGAGAAGATTCACAGCCGGGCACTATGGTCCTAGTGTTATCTTTGTTAAGGCAATAGTGACCCACAAGCTACCAGCACGCCTGCATTTGTTGTGTGTTTCTTTGACACAGCCTTAAGTCTGGCTGAGTGTGTGTTTAGTGTGCACAGACGCATGGAAGGTGGGATTTCCTAGTGTGCACAGACGCGTGGAAGGAGGGATTTCTTAGTGTGCACAGACGCGTGGAAGGAGGGATTTCTTAGTGTGCACAGACGCATGGAAGGAGGGATTTCTTAGTGTGCACAGACGCGTGGAAGGTGGGATTTCCTAGTGTGCACAGACGCGTGGAAGGAGGGATTTCTTAGTGTGCACAGACGCATGGAAGGAGGGATTTCTTAGTGTGCACAGACGCATGGAAGGAGGGATTTCTTAGTGTGCACAGACGCATGGAAGGAGGGATTTCTTAGTGTGCACAGACGCATGGAAGGAGGGATTTCAGCTGTTGGATTGGGTTTTTGCCATTTTCATTATTTATAGGCATTTTTTCAAATTTAAAACTAAATTGACTTTTTTTTATTTACTTAAAGAATAAAGGATCACCTACAGAAGATATATGTCTGCTGGTAAGAGTCTGTCCTGTGACTATTCCAAGAGCGGTGGAGGGAAAGCGGTTCCTAATGGAGATGCTGAACACAGAGCGGTTTTGCCTCTGACTTAAATTTAAGCATCCCTGTCCAGGACAATGTTTGCCTTAGGTTTCTTTAGAAGGTGACAGCGCCCTGTTAGCAGCCCAGTTCCTACCGTTCCCGACTGCGAAATCAACGCTCCTGAGGGTGGACTCCTTTCCTGCCTTACAGGTTCCAGTTTTGTGTTTTTATGAGATCCCTATGCGTGCAAAAGTGTCTCTGTGTCTAGATGTGTTTCTTGTGCTTTGTCTTTGGTTCTTTTCCTTCTGTTTGCTAGTCTTGTCCTATACTGATGTGTTTTTGTTTTATCTTGTTATTATTCTTTAGGGGCCTGTTTGTTTTCTAACCAGACACAGAAAGGGTACGGATCTGGATGGGAGGGGAGGTGGGGAGGAACTCAGAGGAGTTGGGGGAGGGGAAACCATAATCAGAATATATTATATGAAAAAATTCTGTTTTCTTTTTTGGTTTGTTTTTTTGTTTTTTGGGGTTTTTTGTTTGTTTGTTTGGTTGGTTGGTTGGTTGGTTGGTTAGTTGGTTTTGGTTTTTCAAGACAAGGTTTCTCCATGTAACTCTGACTGTCCTGGAACTTGCTCTGTAGACCAGGCTGGCCTTGAACTCAAAAATTTCCCTGCCTCTGCCTCCTGAGTTCTGAGATTAAAGGCCTGGGCCACCACTACCCAGCCTAAAATCTATTTTCAATAAAAGAAAAATGGAAAAAATAATCTCAAGACCATGTTGCTTAAAAATATAAACAGCTGGGTGCCACTTTTAGTCCTAGTATTGGGAGGCAGAGGCAATGGATCTCTGTGAGTTCGAGGCCAGCCTGATCTACAGAGCGAGTTCCAAGACAGGCTCCTAAGCTACAGAGAAACCCTGTCTCAAAAAACCAAAACCAAAACCAAAACCAAAACAAAACAAACAAAACTTCTCTGTCATTGCACATTTTAATAATTTTAGGCAAAGTTAACTTGTTGAAAGAGCACATTCCTGGGAAATCATATAAAGGAATATCTTTGGCTTAAAGACACCTCTGAAAATAACAGGATGCCCTAATTATGACCATCCATTCTAGTTCAAAATAACTATCACTCACAGCAGTTGCATAGAAATCATGTGTACCTCTCACCTGACCTTATTGAGTTATTTCTAATCCCCCAATGCTGAGCCCACCCATTGAGCTATTTCTACCCCTCCCACCCTGCTCCTTTTCCTACCCATTAAGTTATTTCTACCCCCCTCATCCTGCTGTTAAGCCCACCCATGAGTTATTTCTACCCTTCACCCCCATTCCCATTGCTGAGCCCACCCATGAGTTATTTCTACCCTTCACCCCCATTCCCATTGCTGAGCCCACCCATGAGTTATTTCTACCCCCACCCTTCTGCTGAGCCCACCCACTGAGTTATTTCTACTCTTACCCCACCCCCACCCTGCTGCTGAGCCCACCCACTGAGTTATCTCCAACTGGTGCTATTGATAAGATTTCCTATTTCTGCTTCTTCATACCAAACTATACCTGTCCTACCAAATAATTGACTCCTGATGTGCTGTGGAATGTCTTTCTGTATAATGTGAATATGTGTTGCTCTGATTGGTTGATAAATAAAGCTGTTTGGCCTATGGCAAGTCAGGTGGGGAATACGTAGGCAGGGAATTGGAGAGAGAGACAGAAAGAAGAAAGGCAGAGGGGAGAGAGATACCAGCACCTCCAGGAGAAGCAAGATGTAAAAGTACCAGTAAACCACGACCACATAGCAACTTATAGATTAATAGAAGTGGGTCAAATCATAAGAGCTGGCTAGCAAGAAGCCTGCCATAGGCCATGCAATTTGTAATTAGTATTAAGCCTCTGAATGGTTATTTTATAAGCAGCTGTGGGAACTTGGGACTGGGTGAGACCAGAGAAAACTTCTGACTCCATTTGGCACCCAATGTGGGGCATTGATCCACATAAACCTAAGAAAGCTTAAAGATTATGAACACATAGAAACAGAGCCACACTAGGCTTCCTAGTCTTACAGTCTCATGCCAGCAGCAGCACATACTGGTCTCCCAACAGCTGCCTGTGAGATGGAGCTGGCCACCAGCCACCCACCATAAGCTAAGCAGCATGGTGAATTCCCACAGCGGTATACAACGGTGTTTCTTAGCTGCATAGCATGCTGCATAATGTATTTAGCTTTTGCTAGTACAGACAATAAAATAAAATAAAAAACAGGTTTCTGGGTAACATGCTGCTTCTTGGAGACAGACACAGTGCTTCCCAGAATTGGTGGTAGGCATACTTCTGCCATATTAGGAAGCTGAGATGGGCAGAGTTAGCAGCCAAGGCTACTGCTTTTTGTCCTAGCTATGTAATTTAGCGGTTTAAAATCTCTCCTAGTCAGAGAAAAATCATAGATTCACAATAAGACAGATTTAGATGGAATAAAACTCTAAATGGATTACAATATATGTAAAAATGTACATAAGCTTGGAAGAGAGAGGAAAAGGAATATATGCAATTATATAAAAAATAATTTTTAAAAATAAAGTTTTTAAAGGACAATAAAATAATAATAAAAAATAAGCCACATAAAGATGAAAATCACACACAGAGTCTGGATTATATTGTCTTTGGAATTTTTAACTGCAGAAAGACATTTGATTATAAAGGTTACTGAGTTAAACCAATATATATATTTTAAAGGTATCTTGACTTCAAAATTTGTGTCTAAGGACATGTTACTTTGGAAAAGAGGTTCTGCCTTTGTTTCCACAGAAGATGAGAACCTATGGATTGCTTCCAAGCTAATATGGCTTGATCAAGGAAGACCCCCTGAGAGGTCTCCAGATGTTCCAACATCCAAAACAGCTTCAAGGCAACTGACTCAGACAATACAGCCTCACAGACTACTCCAGTCAGGACTTGACCATAATTCTTAATTTTCTCAGGATCCCCATAAGATTGACAATGCCCTCATCCAACAAAAACTAGTATGAGAAACTATGCCCAAACTCCCAAAATATTGTTTATAAATATTTATTTTTATTTAAAGGGGGTTGATTATAAATACAATCTCTTTCTAAAGAAGAAAAGGGGATAGTATAGATATTATAGGATAAAAGGGTAGATCACTGAATCTACTTTTGAAGAGCAACAACTTGTTTAAAAATATTTTACATTGCTATATATTTTAGTTTCTTGATACAAATTTAATTTTGTTATACTGAATGTATATTTTTACTCTTGTTTAAGGTATTATGTTTGTGTAGCTCATTTGAAATTGTAATGTATAATTAAGAAATACAGATTAATAATTAGTCATCCATGATAATCAAACTTATATTTATGTTAGTTAAATTTTCTAGGTATACATAGATATATTTCAATTAAGTAGGTAATCTTCAAACACTTCAAAGACCTACAGAATATTACATTTAAAATGTTTTAAAAACTTAGACTTTCTAGACCATGAAACACGTCTGCTCCTGCCAATACCAATTTACTTCAAAGAGAAAAATGGGCATTGAAGACACTCCATATGGAGTTTATCTTCTTCTTGGCAAAAACTGGCCATTTGGGTAAGAAACTGTTCTTGCCTGGACTGATTGACAAAATGTTGTATAGACTGGACATGCAGGACCCATGAAAAAATGACCACTGAATTTGCCAAAACAAGGTGAAATAGTCCTTCAGGTTCCTGCTTCACAGAGGAGACTGCCAGACATTCTACAGGACACAGAGAGAAGTGACTGAGAGACTCTAGGTCTATAGGCTGAAGATGGATGCCCCAACATTACAGAGGAACTTTGGATGACTGTCAGGCAGCCAGCTGTCTCTGTCATTTCCAGATTTTTGGAAGTTGCTTACAATGCTCTTCCTATTTTCTTAGGTAATATTATATCCTTCTGAGGTCTTTGATGTGGTTGAAAACTAGATAGATATAATTATAGTTTTCCTTAGTCATGATAAAAGACAAATTATATATGAAATTTTAGCCTCACAAATATAGCATAGATGATAAAATATTTTCTTCAAGTGTGCCAAATATAAATAGACTAGATCTTGTAACTGTAATTCTTGCTTGATAACTGTTCTATTATATGTAATTTTACTATGTTAAAGTTAAAACCTTCCTTTTTGATTAGACGGAAAAGGGGAAGTGCTGGGGGATGTCTTTCTGTACACTGTAAATATGTGTTGCTCTGATTGGTTGATAAATAAAGCTGGCCTATGGCAAGTCAGGTTATAGCTAGGTGGGAAATTGGAGAGAAAGACAGGAAGAAGAAAGGCAGAGGGGGGAGAGACACACACCAGAACCTCCAGGAGAAGCAAGATGTGAAAATACCAGTAAGCCACGACCACGTGGCAACTTATAGATGAATAGAAATGAGGCAAATCATAAGAGCTAGCTAGCAAGAAACCTACCATAGGCCATGCAATTTGCAATTAATATTAGGCCTCTGAATGATTATTTTATAAGCAGCTGTAGGACATTGGGGCCAGGCAAGAACGGAGAAACCTTCTGACTACACTGATGTGAGTTTTCTCTTTGTACCTAGGAATGATCATTTGGAAGAACCTCCGCTCTCAGCCTGGTTTAATCCTAAGTAAGAACAAAACAATAGTGTAATTCAATTTTAAGAAAATGATATTCTGTTACCAAATTGTAGGTGCTAGAGACACTAGAACCAAGTTCTCATTTGTTTCTAAGACTTTTTACTTTGAAGACTTTTTTCACCTGTTTATGGTCTACTTTTCAAGAATCATGCAGTGAAGAAAGTTGTCAAATTCAATCTGGCTTAGCATTCTGGTATTATTAGGGAGAAAATGTCTTTAGGTGCAACCTAAAAATGCCAATATTGACTCTTCTAAATTTTAATTTATTATCACTATAATTAGCATATTAATTATATAAATGAATAGGTTCCACTGTGACATTTCCATGTATACATATATCATGTTTTGCTGGTGTCAATTCTTCCTACTACCCTCATTTGGCTTAACACTTTGGGGACACCATTATTTTCTTGTAATAGCTTACAATATTATATCTATATAGTGTAAACATGTTTATAAAATGTTTATAATGCATTTAAGCATTTCACTGACATTCTGTGATATTTGTCATCTAGGGGCTATTATATTCCAACAAGTGTGTGTGTGTGTGTGTGTGTGTGTGTGTGTGTGTGTGTGTGTCTGTCTGTGTGATGGAAGAGTATGGATTTCTCACATGGAGTCACTCACTGTTTTAAAAGCCCGGGATGTTGGTTGTGTGTGGTAAACTGGATGCTGCCTAAGCATGAGGACCAGAGTTTGGAACTCCAGCATTCACACTGGTTACCAGGTGTGTGGTAACCAGCCTGTTGTCCCTGTGCTCAGAAAGTGGAGATGGGGAATCTCTAGAGCAAGCTGTGTAGCTAAACTTGCCTAATCAGTAAGCTCTGGATTCAAGTGAGAGACAGCTTCAATACATAAGGTGGAGAACAACTGAGGAAGACACCCCATGCCGATCTCTAGCCTCTATTGCACATACACAGACACACACCCACATACATGTAAACATGCATACATACATGCATACACATCACACAAACATACAAAAGGAAAAATAAAAACAGCTAAGTAGGACTGGAGAGATGGCTCAGCAGTTAACAGTGCTTCTTGCTCTTTCAGAGGACCTGGGATGGAGTCCCAGCACCTACATGCAGCTCACAGCCACGTGTAACTCCAGTTCCAAGGGGATCCCATGCCCTTTTTTGGCTTCTGTGAAGACCAGGCATGCATGTGGTACACATATATACATGTAGACAAAACACACTTAGGAAATTAAAATAAGTAATTAAAAGATACAAATTTAAATTTTGATGTAGGCTACTTAATTGCATTGAAGCATTATACCATTTATTTTCCTATCTATAGTGGGTAAATATTAGTAATGTTTTAGTTGTGTGATATCAAATATTTCATTTTTGGCTGTGACCACACCCAGGCCTAGAGGAGCAACAGGAGGGGTGGTTTTATAAGAGATCAGGGATTGCCAGAACCGTGGAAGAGGAGCTGTCCCAAGCCGTCCCAAACAGTAGTCACAGAGGGACACAGCTGTCCAACAAAACTGGAAAAGAAAAAGGCAGGTAGCTGACCTCTCTCCCTTCCTGCCCTCTGATCCTTCATTGATTGTTCTCATTTGTAGAACCTACTAGAAGCCTCAGCTCAAAGGACATTGGGTAACCAATCTACTCCCAGAGTGGAGAATGGATAAAAAGATAAATGGAAAATAACTAGCACAACCCTGTCTTCTACAAACTGGCATTGTTTCTCAAGACCTTCACTTATATGAAAAAGCTCATGTCTCCAAACAGGATAAACATAAAGTTCCATCAATTGCATCATCACAAGATGATGACAGTACAGTCACATTAGCCATCCCCAACACTCACCCCACAAAGTAGCAGAGAAAGAGGAGAAAATAAAATAGTTTACATAATAAATCACTGCCACAGCCCTACCACAGCAGCCATTAGGGAGATGGATAATAACCAGTAGATAACAATCAGATCCATGGCTTCCTTATCGTCTACCGATACGCCCTTGGCCACTGTTCTGACTACCTCCTTCCCGGTGACTCCAAGTCCCTTGGTGGTGCGGTCCTATTGAGGTGCCACACTCTCCCAATGACCATTATTGCTGGACATAAGAACAGTAGAGTATCCCAGAGAGTTCTTTGTGTTCTTTGCAAAGCAGTTCTCCTTGCTGTCATTTCTGCAATAACAACTTGTGTTTCCTTGGTAATGAGAATCATTTGCCCAGCCAGGATATTAACAATATTTTTACTGTTTGATTCAACAATTGAGAAAACTCAAATGACCTATAAGTGGTTTTATGGGGCCATGGCTTTGTTCCCCGAGGGATTCCTCCCTTGTGAACTAGTGTCTCCCAATCCATGGAATCGAAGGTCATAAAATGCTATAAACAGAGAGCCAAACACTTATAAATGAATTATCTAATGTAATCAAGAGCCAGACACTTTCCCATATCCACCCACCCTTATGGACTATGTACTTCAGCTTTGAAAAACATACCATCTGAAGAAACTGCTCACTGATTCAGAGCACCCTAGGGCTAGTACCTCAACCTTGTAGAGAATTGGTACTCAACTTGTCCTGAAATGAAGACTTCTGTGGACTCTCCTACTGTCTGGTAGGCTAGCTGCTTCTGGACAGACAGATGATAGTAAGGACAGAGGCTGTGAAGGAAATGAACCAACTGTCACCACATTTCACCATAAAATTCACTGCCTTTTCAGTTAGGCAAGGTGTATGACATTGGACACTCGATGCCTGCCCGAGTTCCACCTTCCTAAGGGATGGCCATATTGTTTAGCGATGCATGATCTCCATTTCTGTGGCTGGGGCTACTCTAGGCACAGATTTACTAAGGCGGTACCAGGGTTGCCTAGCAAAGGTGTCTTGAGGACGTCCTGAGGACTGTTTGTGCTGCTCACTAGCTGCTGAGCCCCTTTGCACCTGCTCTTCTGTTTTACCATCTGTTAAGCAATGTCATATTTTAAAATGTTAAGACATTATTTTTAATTATGTGTATGTGTGTGTGTGCTCATGGGTACCATGTGTGTGGAGGCGGAGACACTGGATGTCTTCCTTTAGTGCCATCACCTTCTGTTTTCAGACAGGTTCTCTCACCGAACCTGGCTAGGCTGGCTAGCCCTTCCACCCTCGGGGTCCTCCCGTCTCTCACCTCACTGCTGGGTAAAGGCATGCACCACAATGCCCAGCTTAAAACACACACACACACACACACACACACACACACACACACACACACACACACACCACATGAGTTTGCCTGCATGAGTTTGTGTGTGCAGGAGCCGATGAGAACCAGAAAGTGGCGATGGATCTCCTGGAACTGGAGCTACAGGGGATTGTGAGCCACCATATGTGGGTGCTGGGAACTCAAGCAGTGTCCTCTGCAAGAGCAGCACTGCTGAGCTTTCTCTTCAGCCAGTGTCCAGCTTTTCACACGGGTGCTGGGTGCTGAAATGCAGGGCCTTGTGTTTTACAGCAAGAACTTTCTGCTGAGCTATCCCCTCACTCAGCAATTTCTTAGCACGGTCTTTAAGAGAATCTTTTCCTTTCATTCTGGCAAATAATGATAATAATCTGATTTATTGAGAAAAAACAGTAATCTTGAAATCTTCTAATCTTCTCAAATAGATTGTGTAAGGCTGAGGTTATATTTATATATAGCTATATAAATAAATATATAAGTTAAAGACTCCTTAAAATAATAGTGGTGTTCTTTTGAAGCACCATGGTAGAACACTTGCCTAGCATGCATGAGGTCCTAGGTTTAAACACCAGCACTACCAGAAAACAAAATGAGATAAAGCAACAATGGGAAGTGTAATCCATGTTCAACTTGGATTCCACTGACATATACAGCATACCTAATTTATGTCTCATCACTGTGACAAAAACGCAGTCTGTCAGTTTTCGATTTGTTTTACTTTGTTTTTTGATAGGATCTCATGTAGCCCACCATGTAGTTGAGGGTGACTCTGAAGTCCTGATCCTCCTGCCTCTATCTCCTAAGTGGCGATCTAACCCAAGCGCATGCTAAGCAAGTACTCTACCAACTGAGCTATATCCAACACCTCAGTAGGTTAGTTTTAAAGTGTATTTTCAAATTTGATTTAAATATAAGTGTATGCCTATTCAGTTTCAGTACGGGAAGATTTAAAATAACTATATAAATGAATATGTAAGTTTAAAAAATCCTGAAAATAGTACTAATGTACTTTTAAAGAATTTGTTACTATGTGATTTTTATAACTATTATTAACACAGTAGTAAAGATTGCCAGACTGCATCTTTGTGTAGATATAGATTAGTACTTAAATTTACAATGTCATTTTTATCCAATTCCTTCCAAGATGTGTATCTTAAAGTGCTTTAATTTAATGCCTTGACTTCAGACAGATTATTTACTATGATGAATGCTGCCATCATGTGGTTATTCATCAGAAACAAGTCTGGTACTTTTCTCTTTGTTCTAGTTCATTTTCTTCTATATTGTATCTGTGTGCCTAAAGCACAAAGGAAAAGATGAAAAGGGAATAGAGAACAGTGTGCAAGTGTGTGCACATGTGTTTGCATGTATGTGCAGAAGCCAGAGATTGATACCAAATTGTCTTTTAGTAGTTGTTTTTTTTCTCTTTGAGGGCCCAACACACAGCTCCCAAATAAATACACAGAGACTTATTCTTACTTATCAATGCCCAGCCTTAGCTTGGCTTGTTTCTAGCCAGCTTTTCTAACTTAAATTATCCTGTTTCTCTTTAACTACATTTGCCTCTGGGCTTCTTACCTTTCTTTATTCTGTATATCTTTCCTTCTTACTCCGTGGCTGGCTGGGTGGCTGGGAGGCTGGCCCTGGCATCCTCCTCTCTTTCTCCTTTTCTCACTCCTCCTTCCTCTCTTGAGCTTAGACTTTTCCTCTTATATATTCTCTCTGCCTGTCCTTTCTCCTGCTTGCTATTGGTTGTTCACCTCTTTATTAGACGAATCAGGTGTTTTAGGCAGGCACAGTAACAGCTTCACAGAGTTAAACAAATGCAACACATCTTTGCATCATTAAACAAATATTCCACAGCATCAACGAATGTAACACATTTAAACTAATATTCCACAACGTTTTCTTCAGTCTGTTTCTGCTTTATTTTATGAGACAGTTTCTCACTGAGTAGAGGTCACTCTACTGGGTGGTCAGTGAGTACTCAGGATCCTCCTGTCTCTCTCTCTTGGTGTGCACCATGCCCAGATTTTTGACGTGGGTTCTGGAGACCCATAGCTAGGTCTTCATGCTTTCATGGCAAGCCCTGCCACTGACCGAGCTGTCTCCCCATTTCCACAAGGGGAGTGCTATAGATCTTCCCGGGGGAAAGAAAGGAGGAAAATAAAAGTTAAAGACATAGTAAGTTAGCTGTTATCACTCTCATAACTTCTGCTGTCACAATAAGATAATCCGCTGGGTTTTTCTTCTTTTTTGTTCAACAGAAAACGTCCTGATGTTATAGCAACAACTGATTGGCTCGCTCCGGTCATATGGGAAGGAACTTATAACAGACAAGTTCTAGACAAATATTACAAGAGACTGAACATTACCATAGGCTTGGCTGTCCTTGCTACTGGAAAGTATGCACTACTAGGATTTGTCCTTTACGTTTTGGAGAAATAAGGATGAGCAGCCACGGACTGTCTCTATCCAAAGCACTACTTCCTATGACCCTGTCCTTCCTTCTGACTGCCATGTGTAGGTGTGGATAGCGGTTTGTTGTTGTTTCTCCAGTATTAGTGACTCTTTCCTTTTCTTCATAACAAATGTCGTCTTCTCTCAGTCCCCCAAGCTTGACTTCTCTCTCTAACCAATACAGCTGAAGGCACAGACCCCACCTCTCTATCTTTATCTTCTTAAACATCAGTGGCATGTGTGTTGATTGGCATGCTAAACGGCACATATCTCCTGGTGAATTTCAGTGAAGTCGTTCTTTTTTTTTCTTCATTTTTCATAGCTTTACAAAACAGTCCCTGAAACACTTCATAAAATCTGCTGATAAGTACTTCATGGTTGGCTACAACGTTATCTTTTACATCTCCACTGATAACATCCACAATCTACCGTACTTAGAGTTGAGTCCTCTTCGGTCATTTAAAACACTGAAGCTGCCCGATGGTGACAACTGTCAAGACTGTACTCCCAGAAACATGAAGAACATGAAAAGTAAAACACTGAAGCTGCCCGATGGTGACAACTATCAAGACTGTACTCCCAGAAACATGAAGAACATGAAAAGTAAAATCATGCATCACATCCAATATGAAGTCAACTTTCTCTTCATTATGGCTGTGAACCAGATCTTCAAGAAAGACTTTGGAGTTGAAACCCTGGGCAAATCTGTAGCTCAACTCCACGCATGGTGGTATTTAAAAAAACCCAAAGATTTCCCTTACGAGAGGAGAGCTAAATCAGCAGCTTCTATCGCCTTTGGGGAGGGAGACTTCTATTACCACAGTGCCATTATTGGTGGCACACCCAGTAACATCTTAGCTTTCATTAATCAATATCTAAAGGGAATTACAGATGACATCACAAATAAACTTGACAGCACATATGAAAGCCACCTAAACAAATATTTGTTAATCAATAAGCCCACTAGGGTGTTATCACCAGAGTACAACTGGGATCCGAAATTTAAGACTCCTCCACAAATAAAGCACATTAAGATAGCATGGCAGCCATAAATTACTTGATGGTTGGTTGTGTCGTGGGGTTTATGAATTCACAAGTAAATAACAGGAATTTCTTAAATATAGAACTTGGGACACTCACAAAAACATATAATCTTCCAGAATAAATTGTCTATCTTTGAAATTGTAATTCTATTTCATCCGAATAAAAATAAATGGATAAGTATTACTTATGTGATGTAATGTATTATATATTCACTATAAATAATTTAAGTATCATTTTTGGAGGTATAAATTTTTATGAAAAAATACAGTTTTATGAAAAAAAACCCATACACATGTCAAATAGATACATATAAAGGAAGCTTAATATTCATCACTTTGCTCAGCTTTATTTATTTATTTATTTTGTTGGGATGTACATTACTTATGGTTGATCTTGATAAGTATTCAGTCCACCTAGGATGTAATTAAACTCAGGTGAACTGAAGACATCCTACCATAGATCTGCTTCTGTTGCTAGTGATACTGAGGTCATTTATTTGTTTGTTTGTTTGTTTGTTTTTTGATACAGGGTCTCTGTGTAACAGCCCTGGCTGTCCTGGAACTCATTCTGTAGACCAGGCTGGTCTTGAACTCACTGAGATCCACCTGCCTCTGCCTCCAAAGTGCTGGGATCAAAGGCGTGCGCCACCACTGCCTGGGTATTTTTTTTGAAATTTTTATCTTATTCTATGTGTGTGGGTGTTTTGCTGGCATGCATGTCTGTGCACTATGTGCATTCCTAATGCCTTCTGAGGCCAGGAGAAGGCATTGGGTTGCCTGGAACTATTTAACAGTCAGTTGTGAGCCACCATGTGGTTGCTGGGAACCAAACTGAGTCCTCTGATGGAGTGGGAAGTGTTCTTACCCACTGAGCCGTCTCTCCAGCCTTAGCACATGTTTTTTAAAAAGATATGAAAGTGTGATAAAAGAAAATTTGCATTGTCCCCAAGGAGCCTACAGTCTAAAAAAGCAGATAAAATTAACCAAGAATATTTCTTTCACAAGTTTAAAAGTTAAAAAAGCCAGGTGGTGGTGGCACACACCTTTAATCCCAGCATTAATCCCAGCACTCGGGAGGCAAAGCCAGGCGGATCTCTGTGAGTTCGAGGCCAGCCTGGGCTACCAAGTGAGTTCCAGGAAAGGTGCAAAGCTACATAGAGAAACCCTGTCTCGAAAAAACCAAAAAAAAAAAAGAAAGAAAGAAAGAAAGAAAGAAAGAAAGAAGGAAGGAAGGAAGGAAGGAAGGAAGGAAAGAAAGAAAGAAAGAAAGAAAGAAAGAAAGAAAGAAAGAAAGAAAGAAAGAAAGAAAGAAAGAAAGAAAAGTTTAAAAAAAATTCAAAATAGATGTGACTAAAATGTAGTAACTCATAAAGTTTCCTCATCTTGACTAGGTCACAAATATGTCTATAAATGTAGTGAGGCACTATCTCCGTACAGTTACAAGAACTGGAGATTACAGAGTCCCAGTGGGCTATTTGTGTCTCCTTCTATGGGAGAGAAGCAGGGGTTTTGCTAAAATTCTTTAAATGGGAGGTTAATGGAAATTGTTGGTGACTGAGGCAGGGAGATCTATGATGGCCTTCAGTGAACCTCTTCTTGCATTCATGACCTTACATAGTGTGCCCTATAGTCTCACCTTAGAGGGCTGAATATATTGACTGGCTTCCAGCCTAGAGAACAGGGCATGCCTCACTAGGACTAACCTACAGCACATTGTGATGTCTGCATTACCGCAGACCTTCCCTCCTGCTGGGGTTGCCACAGCAAACTGCCATTTTGGTGAGGCCTGAGGGATGTGCTCACAGGTGCTGGCCAGCCCAGAGAAGCTACCCCAGAGCTGAGCACCTACTACATCCCACCTAGCAGGACCAGGCCTAAGAACATTTATCCCACCTCTGTAGACAGGATCCACAGGACCAGGCAGCAGTCTCCACAGTAGCAGGTAAACAAAGCTCTGTAGAGACGCAGAGGCCTCAGTCCCCCAAAATATGCTAAGAGCTAGATACTTGTAATGTACATTATGTTAGTAAACTATCATGAGATGTCTGAGTTCACTGAGAAGCTGGCTCGGGAAGTGGGATTGATTGGTCCGTCTGTGGGATAAAATGGGTCAAGTTAAAACACCCTGACCCTGACTTGACCAAAGACCAGGACCAAGGAATTGAAATCCCACCAGTCCCTGAGCTTGCCCCGGAATCAGGCCACAATACCCCACCAAGCCCAAGCCACCTTGGAAAAGTGCCCCCAAAGAAGCCCTATATTGTTGTTGGTTATGTTTGCTCTTTTGGGGGACCTGCCACCTAGCTCCCAAATAAATCACACACAGAGGCTTATTCTTAATTATAAATGACTGGCCTTTAGCTTGGCTTGTTTCTAGCCAGCTTTTTTTAACTATAAATTATCCCATCTACCTTTTGCCTCTGGGCTTTTACCTTTCTCTGTTTCTGTATACCTTTCTTTCCTTCTTACTACGTGTCTGGCTGGGTGGCTGGGTGGCTGGGTGGCTGGGTGGCTGGGTGGCTGGGTGGCTGACCCCTGCAGTCCTCCTCTCCTCCTTCTCTCATGATTTCTTCTCTTTTCTCAGATTTCTCCTATTTATTCTCTCTGCCTGCCAGCCCCGCCTATCCTTTCTCCTGCTCTTTATTAGGTGTTTTAGACAGGCAAAGTAATACAGCTTCACAGAGTTAAACAAATGCAACATAAAGGAATGCAGCACATCTTTGCATCCATTAAACAAAGGTTCCACAGAAAAACAGATGTAACCCATCTTAAAATAACAATACTATACCAACAATATATAATCTCTATTTGTGCTCTATTCAGTTTGCTGCTGCTTTTCATCCTAGAGGCAGCCACCCTCCTGGATTTTTCCTTCCCAATAAATCTTGAGTGAAGTTTGTTGTGCAGTGTGACACTTTCCCGGGAGTGGAGCCCAGCTGTGACAACTTTAGCAGAACTGTAACACTGGGGAACTTTCTCCTAGTGGGGCAGAGCTGTAACATCTTTGCTGGGGAAACCCTCTCCTGCCCAAGCAGAGTTATTATACTTGCACTGGGGGAACCTTTCCCTGGAGCAGAGCTGTAACACTTCTGTTAGAGCAGAGTTCTGGGGACTTCGTGGTATTCCTTGGCTCCTGACTTCCATCAGAGCTCCAGTGCTTACATTTGGTGTCATTGATGGGTTTTTTTTTAACGGTGCTCTTACTCCCAAGGAAAAGTCATGGAACATGACAGAATCCACTAACAAGAGTTTTATCAAGACAAGGAGAAAGGGATAGATGTGATCAGGCCTGTGGAAGAACGTGTGTGAGAAAGAGGGTAAGGGAACATGGAGCCCGACTTTTGAAGGCCAGGTCACACCATGTACTCAGGCCCACGTGACTATTCCATGCATGTGCATAGATCATGTGGTCATGTCTGCATGATGGTGTGTGGGTTACACAGGACGTATGACCCAGAAATGACTAGGCGGAGACGACTAAGTGTCCTGCTGGGCATGCAGGACCATGGGAGTGTGGCTGGAATTCCTATCATCCTGGACTCTTTGTTTTTATAAAAGATGACAGATGAGTGGGTATGGAGTGTCATTTCTCCCAAAAAATTGCTTCCAGCTGACTTGGTGGGCATCAGTTGGCTCTTATGGGGAATAGGGAGGGGAGCTTCTGAAGTCCTGGGATGATGGCTGTCTGTCGTCCCTTGCCCTGGAGTTGTCCATCCTTTATGGCTGGGAACATTTTGACTGACAGGATACTGGTGACACAGAAAAAACTTAGAGAAAAAAGAATCATTATTATTTTATTTTATTTGGAGTGTTTCCAGACCAGGGGAGTTGACACTTGTCTGAAGTAGATCTGACCTGTCCAGATGGATTTAAGCTGGTTTCTGGAGCTTGGGAAAATTTTTGAACATGTTAAGAAGCAGCCATGAGAAAATTAGTGAAAAATTGTGGTGGTTAGTACTCTGCTTAGTTGTTTGGTTTTTTTTTTTTTTTTTTTACCTGAGATAAGCTTTATTAGAGGTAATTTATTTAAGGCACCTGTTTCCTTTATTAGTTTAGCATTCAAGAGACACAGGAGTTCAATTGCTGAGAGCATTCAACAGTGATAGACTGTTACATTAGAGTCTGTTTTTTGCAAAGCCCAGACACTTTTGCATCTGGGAGTGTAAATACCTTTTGATTATTACTGTTTTTTGTTTTTGTTTTGTTTTGTTTTTTGTTTTTTCCTTATCACCTGGATATTTTTGGTGGTCTTTTTGCCTCAGGCTCTGTGTGGCCCTAATTAGGGAAGGAAGAGCTTATGGGGTGATACCTCATTCCTCTGGAATTGGTGACAAGGCAGTGGATCCCGATGTCCTCTGGAGCTTGAGAGAACAGGGCCCTGTCTGTGTCGCTGTATGTGAAGAGAGATTTTTCTGGGATGGAGGTGAGATAAAAGGTTTCAGATGAGACAGGTGGACCCAGTGAGGAAAGCCCTCGAGCTTAGCAGCTGTGGGGGTTACAAGAATTACCTTGAAGGGTCCCTGCCACTAGGGGGAAGGGGTGAAGGGCACTGGCCTGGAGGGGAAATAAGAACCTGGTCCCCAATGTGGATTGGAGGTGGACAATTATTGTCACAAGGCTGAGGTGATGAACATTCTGCGTAGCTCCACAGGATAGACCTTAGGTGACACAGCAGGGGAGTTAACAGGCTGTCTGGAACAGTTGGAGGGTTGGATAGAAGACCTGGTGTTAGAACCGGCCTTCCATACATTAGTTCAAATGGAGAAATTGAAAGAGGCTTTTTAGGAAGAGCCCTGAGCCTAAGAAGAGCTAGAGGCAATAATCTTACCCAGTCAAGGTGAAGTTCCTGTGACATCTTAGTAAGAATAGATTTTAAAGACTGGTTGGTGTGCTCCACCTTTCCTGAGGATTGAGGACAGTATGGGATATGAAAATGCCAAGGAATGTTAAGAGCCTTAGCTAGGGTCTGGGAAACCTGGGAGGTGAACTCTGGACCATTGTCAGACTGA